ATTATAGCTTTGGAAAGCTATAATTTGGAAAATTAATTCTATATTACTGTAACAATGTAGAACTAATTATCCAAATACAAGTTGATCTTCCCATATAGTACTGAGTGAAAAGACTTGCATGTATACGGAGCGATTGTATGTGCAAGAGAGAATAGAGTATGGTTCTTGGAGAGCTGTCTGATGGTCCTTAGGAGGAAAAGAAGAGGAGAGATGGATTAACCACCATTGATGCCATAAGAGACTTCAACAAAGAAGTTGGTGGGCAGAGTATAGGAAGTGGGTAGGCAGGGAGAAAAAGAGAAAATTTGTGCTGAAATCACAATAATTTTTCCACTTTGGGAAAAGGCGGTGGTTAGCCTTCTTACCCTCTGTAATGAAATAACAATTGGTGCATGAAAGTCAGTGAGCTTGTTAACGCAAAACTTTGTTAAGCAGCAAAAATGGCAACCTTAAATGTATTTGAGAGTTGTAAAAGCTTTAAGTGGAGCTCGATATTTATTTATAATCACAGCAGATATAGTCTTCTTCAAATATTTGAGCTTTACCACAAACCAGGCCCGTGTTAGTTAGCAGCTACCATGTGGCCTGTCATGCTGTTTGGTTTTTCAGGAGAACGAGAGGGGTCTGAAATACTGATCTTGGAGAATTGGGAATAACTGCCAGCTAGCTTAGTATACTAATAAGGATGCCCCATGACCCCATTTTAGCATTTTTAAGTTATAAAGGAAGAATTCGTGGTGGGGAAAAAGTGGAAAAACTACTCTGTGAAAGAGGAAGAGAGAAGGAAGCAACAAAAACGAAATCAGGATTATTATTTAATACTATCAGAAAAAAAAAAGTCAATAAATTTTATGCTGGTAAAGGTGAATTCTCATCTAGTTATCTTCTTGCTTTCTGTCAGAATAGAGCCTAATTATTTGTCACATGCCGTCAATAAATAATGCCTTTTGTTACAATTTTGTCATGTTTTAGGTGCAAATGTCTGCTCCAAGTGTCCCATCTGCACCACCTTCTTATGACGAAATAGCAGGAGTCAACACGAGCAATCCTTTCCCTCAGCCATATCCAGACTTTGGGCAGAAGCCAGGCTGGAACGGAATGAGCCCTCCCCAGTACGCGGGACAGCCTGCACCAGCCAGTAACCCCCCCAGTAAGCCTCAGAAGTGTGACTGTGCCTCGCGTTAAGGAGCTGTCAGGTGGCTGTGCGGCAGGTGCTGTGCAGAAGGTGAAAGATGGTGGTTCACAGGTGTTCCCCACCTCCCAAAAATATTTTTGAAGGGAATAAGGTGAACCGATTCTTGCAAATCCTTCGGTATGCACTCACATCAATAACAGCATTTGGCTTTCTGTAGTTTTTAATGCTGCCTTATTCTTAGGACAGTATGTTCCTCCATTAGGAGAGACCATGGTAATTTCTTTTTGTCATCGTGCATTTCATTGCTCTCAGCCTCAAATATTTCAGAGTGCTGACTGGTTCTAGCTCAGGGGAAGCTGATTAACTTTTTTCCGTATTTACCCATTGAGTAAACAGTGTATTTCTCTGCTCAGTTACAGTTCAAACAGTGTATGTGCAGCAACCAGTAGTATTTTCTGACCGCCCAGTTCAGATGTGCTGCCCTTCCTGTAACCAGACGATTGTGACACGTCTCTCGTACGGCTCAGGAGCTTTGACTTGGCTGTCATGTGGTGGCCTCTGCCTGGTGGGGTAGGTCGATTCTAATTCACACTTTATTTTTCTCTTCTTCCATGACTTACTGTGGCTCTAAGGAATAAAGAAGCTCTCAACTTTGTTGCTTTCTCGTTCTGTCTGGGGCATAAGCCTTGGTGGTTTGAATAGCCTACATCTACATTTAAGTCCTAAAGGACCTTAAAGCAGCTCTGGAACACTCATGTAATGGACTCCATAGCCATGTGTGTTCTTTCTAAAGCTTCGTGGCGCCGGTTTTACTGATGGCTTTTGCAGAAAATATATTTTACCTTCTTGTGTATGTAATAAGTGATAAAACAGTTTGGTTTGTTTCTTTTCTTTGCAGGTGTATACTTGGCTGCTGCCTAATTCCCTTCTGCATTGATGCCCTAAAGGATGTAGATCACTTCTGTCCAAACTGCAAAACTCTTCTTGGTTCTTACAAACGTTTATAGGCAATGTTTAAACATTGATAATGGGTTGATGAAGTTGATTAACACCCCTGCAGGCTCTTCCTGAAGCTTCATGAACGCTTCCAAAAGTTGTTTCTGTGCATCCTGTCACTGGAAACCAATCAAAAGTAATGTTCATTGCTAGATTGTTTGAATAAGAATTTCCTTGAGAGGATTTGACTGGGGTCTGTAAAAAGTATACGTAATCTCTATGGGCCACTCAGTCCAGCGCCAGCTGATAGCAACTAAACATTTTCCCTTTCCACATTACACCAAACAGGTTGGTGATGTTCTTCAGTTAATCCTGTCTCGGTCATGTTGCACGCCAGCGTGCGTGCTTACAGGCTGGGCGTGGAGCGAGAGGAGAACATCTATGGAGACCTGGATGGTCTCATGCTTGCTGTTGATGCTTTCGCAACAGCACTGTTTACGGGGAGGTGCTTGCCTCTAACACAGGTGCCCCTCTCTGACAAAAGAAGTGATTTATTGGCATCTTCTCCTGAGCACTAAAATTCACTTTAAAACTTCCTCAGTTGAAAGAGAACCAAACCTAGAGGCTTCTTCTTGAAGGCTGCTTTACCAAATGGACAACTCAGGTTATTGTGCGTCTATGGTGATTCAGTCTAGTACCTGAACTGCCTTGACAGCTGCAAGTCTACTCATATCTGTACTCTGCAGTAAAGATGTTCATACAGGAATTTTTAACAGTATTTGTTAGTGGTTTTTGTTTGGTTGGGGTTGTTTTTTACTGCTAATTTCTAAGTCTGAGAAGTGTTCTCTTCTCACAACCCCTGTGGAAATGCCCATAGAGCTTTGGTTATAGCACTGGTAAACTTTTCTATAACTTGTAAACATTTCTATAACTTAACTGATAGAACAGAAACAAACCTTAGCCTTATCTTATGGCTTGAATGCCACCTGCAAAGCTTTTATATGACCTGGGCTTTTAATTGTTGATCTGTTTGTTAATTACCATTTCTTCAGCAAGAAGGTAACGTTTGTTAAGGAGTCTCCCTGATGATTATTTAGACTTGCACTCTGATTTTGCTAAATGAAAGAAAGAACTTCTGTTTTCAGAAACTTAAGCTGGATATGCTTATTTAAGACCAAGATCACAAAAACTTAAGGAATGAGGTTATGAAGGTTGAAGTATTTTATCACGTCATAAGCAGCAGACGGGTGTGGATAACATCTGGGTGCATTTGAATGGTACCTGTCTAGAAAAGGCAGACAGGTGTTTAAACAAGGCTATGATGCTAACACTGTATTTAAACTTTGTAAAAGGAAAAAGCTGAAATACATGCAAATAAAAAATACTGCATTAACTGTTCTTGCCAGACGTGCCTTCTGTAACTACTTGATAGAGGTTAACTTCTGAAAAGTCTTTCAACACTTCACATTGGAAAGTGCTCCATCCCCGGAAGCATTCAAGGCCAAGTTGGAGGGAGCCTGATCTAGTGGGAAGTAATTCTTTGATATAAATCTGAGAGCTTCATGCATCACAAATACAACCTCTAGGGTTTTGTTAAAACTGCTGCTGCTTGTGGGTCAGTCTGCAAGTGGTTTAAGAACTTCCTTGTGCACTTTGGAAAGGTTTCTGTCCTCCCTGTGCCAGAAGAATTTACATGAGTACCTACCAACTGGCAAGAGAATGGTGGAGATGAAAAGCTGGTAGTTTTGTAGCTTACCACTCTTGTGTGGGTGCTGCTGCACCCCTTCTTTAAGGGCCTGAGTGACGCTCCATCACATTCTGTGTTCTGATGACACAGGCAGTGATTCTCACCGACACAAGTCACGGGCACTACAGTAAAGGGGTATTCACACCCCCCTTCCCCGCTGGCTCCATGGATTTCACAGAAAATTTCCTTCTTACCAGTTCATCATCAAAGCCAGGCAGGAAGAAGCCATGAGGCATGCAGTGCTTCCAGACCTGATGTTTGCTGGCATGGTGGGGAGGAGTTTTAGTTCCTTTAGTACTCAGGTTGGTCTGGTATTGGGTAATCCTGCCACACACGGATTTGGTAAGTCCTCAATTCGTTATTCCCTTAGCTCCCCTTTTCTGTCCAAAGTGATCGTTGGAAAATCTGAAGAAGTGGCACATGCACACAGAAGAACACTGACTGAAAAAATAATTGTGTGGGGTTTTCTTAGTTTTCTTCTATGGGCACAGTCCGTTGCCTCTCTTTGAATTCTTTGTACGGATTGAGAATAGAACATGTAATGTTGGCAGCTATTCCATCCAATTAAGCATTTTTGCAAACCTTTCTGCTCCCCCTTCTATACTTGAATTTCCTTAAATACAAAGCCTGTGTTTGTTCACTTGTGCTTGGAGTTAGCTACAGATTGTACCAAATTACCTGCTTTTTGAAACTTTAGATAGACAAATGCAAGATATAACTTGCTGCGTGCGAAAGTGCTTTGTGTGTGATTACACTGAAGTTGCTGTTTGTTTGAAAAACTGGTTAAATTTAAAATAAAAACTTTTGTCTTTCATATCTAGTGCTTGTGGTTGGAAAATTTGTAACAGCTGGAATGTTTCCAAACACATGAATGGCTGAAATGTTAAGAAATGCACTTACAGGGTGAAATTTTTCAGGCTCTCACTTGGGCCAAGGCTCTGATAAATGACACTCTCGTGTGCAGACCAACTATTTACCTAGAGAGCCGCATTTGAAAATGAGTTGTTTTCTGCAACTTGAGCTTTTCAAGTAAAAAAAATATTTTTTTTCCTGCATTTAAAACTTCTTTGGGTAAAACTTGCCCTTACAATGCAACTGAAGACACCCATACAGATATGGCTATACTTTTCTGTATCAGTGACCAGTAGGGAGAAAACCAGATACCAATATGTTCACTTGGAAAGAATCCCTATTAATCACGAGAGAACGTGCTGCTTTATTAAGGTCTGAAGCACTTTTTTTTCCTCTGTCTTTTTCCTTTCTGAAGTGCAGAGAATACAGGAAGGCATGAGTAATACCTCAAGCAATTTTGTACTAATGCATTGGTATTTATTTTTATCGGGCGACTTTTTGGTTAATTTGTTAACAAGCAAGTTGAGTTCCTCTGGTAGACAGAGAGGTGGCAGGCTGCCTTCTGTGTGCTCACGCTACTTCCACAAATAAGTGAGGGATCCCGCAGGCTCCCGTGGCAGATCTGGGTGAAGCCTTCTGCTACCCCCACCTTCTTCAGCTTTCCAGGATGGCTTTGCTTTCTCTTACGCTCTGACCCAGTTAGTTCCATTTGTCTTCTGTTTTTAATTGATAGATCTTGCACAATGTTCAAACTGCTTTAATTCCGATGAGGTTTGAGCCTTCAGGAAATGATACTTGTTTTGTCATGTAAAGAGGATCCAAAATAAAAGCTGTTAAAACAAGTAAAGAGCAGCTGATAGCCTTATAAGGGGGAGCTGTTAAGAGAGCAGTTTCAGAAGGCTGCTATTTATTGCAGTGTTTGTGAAAGCACTTCTGGCAGTCTAACCACGAGTTCTGTTTTTAAAGAAATGAGTTGTGATTTGTGTTCTCAAACCTAGTTCAGTTCCTCCTCACAACTGAGCAGCAGAGGGTGAGTAATGGAGTATTCACTGTCATTCCAGGAATAAAAACTAAGAAAGGTAAGTACTCTGACAAAGGTGTGAAGTGTTTATAGTTCAAGCAATTTGTATTTTATAGCAAATTAACCTTTATGTTCCTATTTTCTTACTAAGATCCTGCAAATTCATTATCTTTAAGGTGACTTTTAATGTCTTTTTGTGAGATAAATACGTGTGTGATGTGCCAGATGTGAATCCAGTACAGAAATAAACTCTCAATCTTACTACTTTTTCAAACCATTATGAACATCATTTTTTTTGTTGTTTAGGACTCTTGAAATCTACTGTCTGTTTGAACAGGTGTCTGTGTGGTTTGGAGGTGCTAAAAGTAGTCATGCTCAAGTCTAGAATAAACCAACAGTGAGTAAGAGGCAAAGTGCTTTTGAGGTTGAGGTTGTCTGGTTTGCTCCATGCAGCTTCTTGGGTCTTGTTCTTGTTTTTTGCTAAACAGAACCAGTTCTGCTCAGTGATTTTACTTTTCAGTTCAGTCCCTTCTAAGAGGCGGCACTTTCTGGAGGTACCAGTGTGGGTTTGCAGTCAGTGCTCTAGTAAGACGTGATTATGCCTGATGTTTATAATTCTGACCAGGGGTTGGGATGCAGAAAGGCTTTTGCTGATACTAAACCTCTAATAACCAAGGCCACTGGTGCACCTTGTGTGCCACGTTGGGGATGCTGGGAAGTAACACGCTGCACCTCTGGGGAGTAATGGGCAGCAGGGGTGACCAGCAAGAGGATTCTATTCCGTATACGTCATTTTCAGTATAAAGCTGCGGGATCATGGGGGTTAAGCATCATTCTTATTTGTGATGATGCCGTGAAAAGGCTGAAATCAGAACGTAACAGCCTTGATGTCTGTTCAGCATCTTTATTGCAGCGCTGGGCACACCTGGGATGGCTCCACCTGGTGTGTGCCCCGAGACAGGCCAGACGTACAGCTTTTATACAGTTCAGAGATACATATTCATGCAATTTCTGAGAAC